AGCACACATTTTTTTCTCACATATGCATAAAAGATGGATCCAATTATAGGTTTTATGCATTGTAGTCCCCTTTTCCTTATGTTGGAAGCAAGCATTTGTATTTCGGTTACACTTCGAATGGAAACGGGAGAAATCCATATTTTTTAGACTTTCGACCTTTCACGTAGTCAGGAAATGTTCAACGTAGATATCAATCTATGTTTGCTGATGAGGCTGAGTATGAGATCGATTTTTTCGCCTCTTATGGAAAGAGTTTTGCTCATGTTACGATCTTTGGGCATCGTGTTTATCTAATGTTCGATTGTCTGCGAACTAGATCACCCACTGGTTAGAGGATCTTTTGGATCAAAACAGTGACAACATTTACAGGAAGTGTGTTTAGTCAATCGAGTGTTTTCATTCTCGTATTGTTTTCCAGGTTCGTACTCTGACTGGAGCATTTTATATCGATGTCAAGTAAATGTCTCATTTTTTAAGTTTTTCAACATCTGAATATCAGGAATTTCTCTAAGCTGAGCTTGGGTCCGGCATATGCAGAAGCTTTCGCCGTCGTCATTCATTGTGATAGTGAGTTGTGTTTTTCAAGTCCTCTGTGCTGATAAAACATTCTGTATTGGCAGGTGTGCATGCTCTGTTCGAGGGCTTGGGGAACACATAAATAAATTTTACAAGAAAACTAGATTTTTATATCTATGCAACTAGATCATAGTAATATCAAGTAATATATATATATATTCTTTTCTCAATTTATGTATCTGAAATGCTAAAAATCTATTCAAAAATGTATACAAATGATTACATATGGCTATGAAAATGCTTTTTAAACCATTACATAAATGGTATTATTTAGATATAAATACTATTTTAGGTTAAGAGCTTTGTATACTTTACATATTTTTTGAATGTTGGGTAGGATTTGAAAATATTTAGATAAAGGAAATTAATTCTAATGCTAAACTTATTTATATTTGAGAATTTTTAGTCAAATATATGTATATAACAAAAATATTTATAAGATATGTGAAATATTATTTTTTCTTATTGATAAATTTTAATTATTTTTTTTCATTTTCATCAAAATCAAATGAAAAAATTTCAAATTAATGGTTAAAAAATTAAATCTTTTATGGTTAATTTTTTTTGGCTAATTGAATTTACAAGCTTTGGCCAATAAAAAATTATTTCAAATTTTTAGAGATTTAAATTTAAAAAAATAAAATTCTATTGGACTATAGGTTTAAGTGTTAGCATTAATTTTCAAAATTTAGCCTTAATATTAAAATTGCTTCAAAGTATTGTTGATAATATATGATGATCTGAAGTTTAAAGGATAAATTCATAAATTATAATCTATTTGGGATGGATTTCTCTGAAAAGCTTAAATATTTTAAAAATTGTATCTACAAAGTATGAAGGTGTTAGTTGTGAAAACAAACTTGAATAACATTCTGAAATAGCTAGATCCAAGAATTTTTCAAGCATTTTTGAAATAAGAGTGGGATACTCAAAGATGCTATTTGTAGAATTTTGGAGATGCCATTTGTAGAAAAATAGTGGTTGAAGGCGGCAAGAACCATTTAGGAGGTTCATGCACTTGAGAGGCAGCGATGACTTGTTATAAGTTTTATAATGAAAAGTCTCGACTCCTTCAAATCATTTGGTAGTAGTACATTGCAACTGTAATCATTGCGATGATTTCCAATAGGGTTTGGATTTAAAGATGTACCATTGGGGTTCCTCAATAAATTCAGTCGTGTAGGAGTTATTGACTCCTTGAACACTGTGCAGTGAGCCTGGACATCTAAACCCTGACAGGTTAGAAGCTTGCATCGGGTATTCACACCCAAAATCCTCACCACTCGCCACTCCAAGGGTGCGTCATGGCTAATGATGAGAAGACAATTGGGATGACGTCCAAGGATATGTTCATTCTGAAAACCAAAATTGTCATTAATCTGCAGAAAGAGTACGGTCTTTATTGTTGAATGAAGAACCGCAAAGCCAAGGCGGAATCTAGTTATCATTTTCTTTCCTCGCTGTCAAGGATACTGGCAAACATCTTCGTTGCAATGACAACTCTTTTGTCTGCTACAACAAATGCATCATTGTTAATCAATACAAACTAGCCAACAAAACTACCGCAATGTCAAAACACTCCTGTACTCCTGTAGAGATCAACTAGGTGATGACAATTATGGCGACGAGCCGCGATGCAACTGCAATTGAAAAAAAAAACTCATCACCAGAGCATTGGCGGACATGTGCGCAGTTGACATGCGTACTTTTCACATTGTGAAGGATATCGGCTTCAAAGAATTATACGCAGATTGTCCTAAACATTGACGTGAAGTCAAAGGTCGGCATGCGTGTGGACAACATACTTCTTGATCCGACCACAATTAGTAAAAATTTGCACCTTCAGTCTAGTGTTGAACGCATTGCATTGACTACCGCCCTGGAGAAGCATCTAGCGGAAGGTATTCGAATTGGCAGCACTACCGATATTTGGACCGATGAAATCAACAAGATCTCTTTCCTACCAGTCACCGCGCACCTCATCGATAACGAGTTGACTATGCATCACCACACGCTAGCATGCAATTCATTCTCTAGGCCGCATCATGGATCCGACGTCATGGAAAAGTACGAGGACGCTTCATGCAAATTTGACATCAATAGCTATGATGAGGTTACGACTCTAATATGCACTTTGCAGATGACAAACTCAACCTTTACGATTGGATTTTGTGTTGTGATCACATCATTGATACCATCCTCACTATAGGAGGACTTGTATGGGCAACGCTAAGAAATATGTTTTCTTCATATGAGTTTTACGATCAGATTCTTGAACAGTTTGACAAGATTGATCACGCCAAAGCTCTTGTGACATACGTCAATAAACTAAATCTTCAAGATGAGCTTGCAAAGATCATTATAAAGGAGAATGCGACGCGATGGATCAGTGAAAATTTTTTAGTTTCATGAATCCACTCCCTTTCTCAAAACGTGTTTTTGTGAACAAAATGTACAAGGTTTTTTCATTGTATCATAAATGACTATCGGATACATATTGTATGTATTACTCTTGAGCATGTCTTTTGCTCTCTCATTTTCCAACGTCAGCCTCATATGCTCTCTCATCGTCATATTTTCTTGGGCAAACAGATTAATCCTAAATATTATTCTTCTAGATTGAGGTTTCGATAACAAAACCAAAAATGTGATCTCACATTTTTGGTTTTGTTATCTGGTGTGATTGTCACTCAACTTTAACTCAGATGGTTTTTAGATAGCTCATCATGATTCTAGAAAAGAAGAAATTTTCAACCTGCTTGTGTTTAAAACATCATAATACATAAATTTTCCATTCATCATCAAATTATAAACACCAATCAATATTGCAAAAATGATTGTGATAACTCAAATTTATATTTATGAAACAAATCTTCACAAAATGAATTTTCTAAACTTGCTTGAGAGTATTTTTTCTACCTCTCTATTTATACTATTTGAGAAATTACAATAGTAACTAACATATTATTGATAATTAACCTGTAATTTACTTTTATTAAGACAAATCTAGTTATGTTTGATTAATTTTCAATACTTGCCAACATGTTATTGGCTTATTTAAACATTTAAGACGCTTTCTTGTACTTAGGTTGAGTTGGCAATATGTCATTTAATACCTTGAAAGTTCTCAAACATCTACTTGACACAAACTTAGTCTAATCATTAAAATTTTCTTTATTTGAAAAACTAATCAAAGTCAACATGTGGTCAAAACCTTTGGAATCTAAACTTTGATACAAAACAAACAAGAAATGTTAACTCAAATCTTCTAATAACCTAGTTATTTTACCAAGTACAGACATAGTAGTTAAATTTAGTCATAACTAGGTAGAATTAATTATAATTAAATTAACCATGATCCTCTCATTGACTAATTCATGAGTAATTCACACATACCTGTGTCTTACATAGCGATTAGAACAAACTATAGAAAGTAAACTTATATTTTGGTGTTTTCAATGATAAATTCATCTTGTGCTAGTATTTAACTTCACTAATAAACCAACGGATTTGTAATTTTTTACCTCCCGTTTGATTTTTCACAATTTGAAGATCTAGTTGCTTGTTCCATGCTTGTTAGGCTACCTGGACTTTACAGCAGGCTTGTGATTACAATCAAAAGAAATTGATCTAACTACGATATTGCTTTTGGAATGTTGTATGCAAAATCAAATCATAAGTTTGCACAAATTGTCGTATGGTCATTTTTTCCTATTTCAGAAATCCTTTTTATGTATCTAATTATCTTTTAACATATTGAAGGATTCAATCCTGAACCTTCAAATTATTACTCAATTTTTCTGGAATAAATGATAGTTTTTGCACTGATATGTGCATTTTGCCTTGGAATGATATTATTTGAAAAAAATCTTCAACCAAGAGAAGAAAAGTATAGTGCATGAACTTTACACACAATATATAGAGATATAAATGCAATTACAAGTGAAGACTGAAAAACAATAAACTTGACAGTTAGGCTGTAGTTTTGAACCAGGTCGAATCCATTTGAAAATGAATCATAGAAACGGAAGAGAAGAGTGCAACTTATAAGACTATGTAAAATATTTTCATGCAGTAAAACAAGAAGGCGTTTAGCGTTCAAGTCTAAACTTGAACGCTAAATGAGATTGACCTCATCATAATGGGTAACACAATCACATCATTCTCTATACGCACTTTTGCAATCCAAGCGGACAAAAATAAAAAAAATCCAGATGTTGCCAAGCAATGAAGTGCTGAGGGATGCTATGGAGGGTCTTGCTTGCTTCAAAGGGAGGCGACTTGAGGGGAGCCACAAAGATGCGGATTGAAGATAAAGTAAAACTCGGTGAATAATCCGAAGCCTTAGCCGGGGCCTTGCTGGCCGCCCTGCGGTGCGAAAATTGGTGCTCCCGAGCCCATTTCGTTCGGAAAGCGGACGGGGCCGGATGGTTGGCTCTGAGAGCCCGCGGCAAGATCAGGTTTTCGAAAGGGTGTAAATCGAGGCATGGCAGAGGGGGGCCTTGGGGATTGAAGACCTAGCAGTCGCAGTGTTTCTCGGGAAGCATAGAAGAGGTCGGTGCAGGAAGGATCGACAGTTCGATTTGTCGTGCGAGGTCGAGGAAATTGAAGCTTTGGCGCTTTGCTGCTCGCGTTTTTGCAGAATCAGAGGCAGAAGGCCTTGTGAGTGAAACATGGCTGCCTCCTGCATCTCCGTGACGGTGAGCGCTGCGGCGTCTCTGGTGGCCGTCGGAAGGTCGGTGGAGTCCGGCGTTTCCAGCCAGACTGCTCGCCATGGTCTCGCGTTCCCCTCCATCAGCGCATCGTGCAGCGTTGAGAGGAAATTGGGCTCGGGCCTTTCTTTTTTCTCGTTCAGCTCCAGGACTGTTAGAAACAATGGACTTGTTGCCAGGGCTGTGGAATTAGACGAAACTAAGGACGGGATTTTGTTCTCTGATGATACTCCCGACAGCGAGCCCGCGGCGGTCGAGGAGACCCCGGCGCCTGCCGCTGGTACCACGAAGCTTTATGTCGGCAACTTGCCTTGGTCCGTCGACAGCAAGGCACTGGCAGAAATCTTCCAGGACTCTGGAAATGTCGAACTTGTGGAAGTTATCTACGACAGAGACACGCAGAGAAGCAGAGGATTCGCTTTTGTGACCATGCGTACCTCCGAGGATGCGGAAAGAGCCATAGAGACTCTCGACGGCTACGAGCTCGAAGGCCGAGTGTTGAAGGTAAATTACCCCCAGACTTCGAAGGATGGTCCCAGGTCATTCCGAAACGACAGGCCCCCACGCAGAGACGGCGAAGGATTTTCTCCCAGATCCGGTGGCGGTTCCAGCTCCGTCAACAAGATATTCACAGGAAACCTCTCGTGGAGTGTAGATGATGTGGCCCTGGCTCAGCTCTTCAGCGAGTATGGACAGGTTGTGGATGCCAAGGTTGTTCATGACAGAGAAACCGGACGCTCAAGAGGTTTCGGATTTTGCACCATGTCCAGCAAGACCGAAGTGGACAATGCCATCCAAGCTCTGGATGGAGCGGAGTTTGATGGAAGGATCTTGAGGGTGAACCATGCCGGTGACAAGCCCGAGCGAAGAGACTCTCCTCGCCGTGAGTACTGAAATTGAATTGTCATTGTTATTCGATTCCTGAGGCTTAATGAAATCTGACGGGAGGATTATTTTGAGGAGATTCATGGGAGTCATGCGTTAGGTAGCTTAGATGTGAACCCTGAACTCTATCGGAGTTCCACTTGTATAATGACAGTTTTACACTTATTTAAGATATGAGTAGACCTGAATAATTGGAGTTTGTTGCACATAAGGGAAGTTATACACATGCTTTTATTGCTGTAAGTGATAACTATCTTGAGTTGTACACCGTGAAGAATTGCAAGATGCTTATCCGCCTGCTGTTCCGGATGTTACCCACAACATTTGTTCTTACGTGGAGTGTCGAGTGTGATTCACCTGTGGTATAGATCATGGTGACGTTTGACCGAGCGTATTGCTTGTAAACGATGTTTCAACAATGAGATGTATATTTTTTTTCAAAGCAACGAGACACTGCAATTATCATCGCACAGAGTAGTCGGGAAAAAACTGGTAGTGAAGGAAAACTATAATTTGGACAATTCATCATTTTCGTTGCCGTCGAGACTGTAAATGTGAGTGCCCGAAGAAAATTTGTTGAATGATGGTAGGCAGGAAAAATTTAAAATTGTATATTAAAAATTAACAATGTGAAGATAATGCAACAAATGGAAGAAAATGGAATATTTTCACTTTCCATACACTCATCAATTTGAGATGATTAAATTATAAATTTTTTAATTTTAACCAGTTTAGTGTAAATGAGAAGAGGAAAATAGAGCAATGAAATGTAATTGTATTAATCTTGACAATGTTCATTATAATAATCTGACTGTTGCATCATCTTCAATACGTCCGTTACATGTCGTATAAATGTCATATACCTTCTGTGATTTTTGCTGTTAAAACGGTGCCTGGGGTAAAAAACAATCTCCTTCATCCTGATTAACAATTCTTGTTAAATTTTCTCACGTTGCGCAAATATTGCTTCTTAGGTCAGAACGTCGCTATACAGTTTTGTCAACATTGCTACAAATATTTGCTGATATACCACAATGGAAAACGAGAAACTGCGCCACAGATTATATTACATTTCAGTCCACTTGAGTCCGTACAGACTTCTCGGCGAATGGTTATTCTAATCCACAATTCCAATATACACAGCTTCACAACTTTGATGACTATTTACACCTTGACAAAAATCCTTAACTCTCCTCTGTCACCGCGACTGATACGAAAATCCTCATCCAAGTAGGTCGTTTCAAATTCCCCCATGCCCCTGCTAACATTACCACTTCCAAACTGTGGCAATCTTGGCAACCCAAATGCAGGTATCTGTGAGAGACCACCTGCTGGCTTCACGTATGTATTCGTGAAGATTAATCTTATTTTCGATCCACCTGCAGCACCTCCACATAAGGACCTTTAGGTCCCTCCTACACGTTCAAACGAAACTTTTTTGTCCATTTGAGTATTACAACTACAGCATTAAAAGAGCAAAATGAAGCACACAGGAGGTACTCCATAAATGTCTGTGTGTCCGTGCGTGTAACTGATATCATGTAAACGAACTGTCAGACATGAGTTTATTGCATGGAATGAGCATGAACAAGATTATTAGAGAGAAAGGAACCAAACCAAGAAAAGGAAGTACCTGCTAGCTCAAAGCTGTGTGCCAAGGTTGCAGTAACCTCGAGAGCAGGTAAAGGCCATGGTGCAAGAACTCTTAAATCAACGATGTTATCAAGCTCCCGAGTAGCAACATCTATCCTTTGATATACCTAGACAAGGGAAATTCAGAATAATATTAGACCTTTACTGCTCACTGTTAATCGATAACAGTCCCCCAAAAGAAGAGCAAAATTTGGGCAACAAGTTCTAAACAGTTCACATTAACATAACTACTCGGTAGTTTTTGCGAGGAGTTCAATCTGGTAACCGAAGAGGTACACAGCACACTCAGAGTAAGCATTCATGCATTCCTGTTCTAAGAAGTCTACAAGCCAAGCCAAGCCAAACCAGAGCAATAGACATACCGAGCCAAGAGAGAGAGGAGATCGAGCGATAGAAGGTCCAGGACGCTGCCCGCCATAACTTCCGGAGCCAAATCCACTGCTGAAAACAAGACGCCATCTGCCTTGCAACTTGTCCAAATCTTCAGGCAGCTGTGGAGCATCTGCTGCTGCTTCCAGCTTTAGTGCTGCAGCATTGGCAGCGAATGCATCGGCTTCATCAGCAACCAATCCTCTGTCGAGTCCTGCCACTACAGCCTGAAAACATGTGCACACGAGCAACTTTCATCGCCTGGCCTCCCCAACAGCCAAAACTCCATAAGTACTCCAATGAAACTCGTATAACATGGACTTTCGAGAACTTATGAACCACATTATATAGGCAACAATTAATATCCACAGAGGCCCCTGATCATGAGTGATGCTAACAAATAGAGAAGCAGACAAGCCAGGTAGATTACACTTCTTTGGCGAAGTCCAAATTCCATACAAATGGACTGATATTATGTGATTGGATATGATCTAGATAAAAAGTGCAATAATTCAGCCAGAATAGGATCGTAACCCTAACCATGCGATGAGATTCAATTCCAAGCACGGTTCCATAAAGGTAAGGACTCACAAGCAAATCCGCCTTCAATTGAGAACGATCGGCTCTCGCTGGAGCTCCTTCCACTGCGACAGACGCCCTCACCGTGAGCCCGGCAGAAAATCTGCTCTTAGTGGGCGTAGACCGCTTCAAGGTTTCACACTGTAAACCATAATCAAACACACCTGAAGCGAATTTGGGCACACAAAGACTTCCAGATTTGCAGCGCTGAGATGCTGAAATTGGCGACAAAATCAAGGTTCCCTGCGCTTGCGTGGCGCACAGGCACGCCGAAGAAAGTGCCATGGCTACGGCCAGTTGTTCGATCAGACTCCTGAGTTCCACAAAGCTTTCTGGCAGCCCGAAACTAGCAGAACTGATACTTTCGGTCGAAGTGCTCAGCGGATCGCTCGTGGGAGACTCCACCAAAATTTCAGCAAAACTCAGACCTCGAACTATTATGGATATTTATACTTGAATGCGAAGATATTTCAATAAGCCAGACATTCACTGGAACATCTGGAGACACGCTACTGCTGGCACGGTCAATAGTTACAGTTTCGCTCAGAGGTCTTTAGACTGACATCTCTCGACTGCAGGGATGGCGCTTACCAAGGGCCCAGATACTCGCCATGGATTGTGTGCTTGGGATGAGCGCGAGGATCGCGCGGTCTCTGTATGGGCACGTCGTCCAACATCTACCGGCGGAAGATCGAGAGAACTGCCCTCGGGTGATTCTTTTCGAGCGGATACGGAAGGGAAGGCCAATCAAGGGGAACGAGGATGAATCCAAATGGTACGAAGGTCAGGCCCCAATAAGGTGACTCCACTGAGTCCAATCTTTTCTCCAGGCACATTCCTCGCCACAGGATAGTCAGATTTTACTCCACGACGGCGAGAACATTCTCCGTGAAATTCATTCAAAAACATCCCATTGAATTCTAAATATTATATAAAATAAAAAATTTCGATATTTTTCGATTTATTCCAATACATAACTATATATATGTAATAATTATTATTATTCAAATGATAATATTTTATTACATTCTGCATTTGAAATACTTTGACGAATTCTTATTAAAGAAAAATAAATTCTTTTACAAAATACTAAACTAGGTATTTTACTGAAGCCAATCTACGATGAAATCAATCGATTGTTAGCGACCTTTCCCACCGGTTTCCAGCGCCGATTCTATCCAAGTGAGAGTAAGGATTAATAGGACGAAAAGGTTGGGAAGACTCCCATCATCGAATAGGACTTGCAAGAAAGCAGATGAGACGTATGTGCTAGTGCATCTAAAGAATATAAATTATCCACGTCACAATTTTCATAGGTAATTCGAGAATTGAGAATAAACAGTAGAAATTACACCATGAGACACATCTACGTGGTTTACCCGAGTCGGGGAATACTCAGAAATTATAATTCTCCGAGGCAAAATAACAAAGGACAACTAGTTTATATAGTAAATGGTGATAGATCAAACCCGAGAACATAAAGGGTCAAAACGCCGAATACACTATACAAGCGAAAAGATCCTAAAGATCAATACCTAGTGGCAACTAACTAGAGTTAACTCGACAACCCGAGTTAAACATAACAACAATATTTACAGGTAAATTTCATTTCTTTTGATATGATGTAAAGCATCTTTCAAGTCAAATTAGTATACATGCCAATTGTGATGTATTCAGGGTATCATCTAATGAGTATCATGTCTTTGCCACATTTTTGCAGATGCAGCAATAGTGCAGATCACGCATCCTTTGAAGTCCAACCGCAGCCTAGCCGATTGACTCAAGGGAAAATCTCGGCCGCAGCCGCAATCATCCGATTCACCTCCCAGTATGGGAGCCGTAGGCCCACATCTCCACAACGTTTGGCCTGTAGCCATGCCCGACTTCCTTACCAATATGGCACCAGGTAGCCGCTTGTTATCATATTGTTACAGACGTAGTCGCAGTCTTTCATGTGTGTAATTGACTTAAAGTGAATTACTCGCAACAATCTAGGTCCTGGTTAAAGCGCAAATAGAGGAGGGCGTTGAGTGTGCTGAGATTCAACAAGCTACACTTTTCATTGCGCGTGTTGCTGACACTTAAGAATGTACATTCTGACATGGAACTTGAAGTTGAAATACAGAGTATCGCTCGAATAGCCCGAGCCAAAATTGGATATTTGGTAGACATTAGTCGCCACCATGGAAGCAGGCCGACGTCATGCTTAATATCGCCATCAGATCGGGCTTGCTTCCGGGTGTCAAGCTGCAATAGAATAACTTTGTCATTCTTGAAAACCTTGAGTAGCCGATATTCAGCCAATTCGGCATCGATCGAGGCTTCAAGCTGGAAATCTTTGGCTTGCGCATCATGATCTTCAACTAATTCATTATCCTCAGAGTCGTCTCGATTCGGGCCAAAGTTAAGAACTACGGTGCGTGGACTCTTGACGCAATTTGTCTTGACCACTGAAGGATGTTTGCCACCAGACATGGACAGCACTCGCTGCTTTGGTGCTTCAACCTTGCGCATAATGTCCTTGATATAAACATGACATTGGTCAATCAGCTGTTGACTGAAGCCATAGTCTTTCAGGCAGTTCTTTTACAGCGGATCGAGGTATGTGGCGGCGGCGTGGAGAGTCTTGAGGACAGATTTGAGCTGATAGATCAACAACTTCTTGATGGGGACAATATTTTCACTGTCAGCAGAAATTGTCATGTTTTCACCGTTGACGCCGTCCACGGTGACGGGTTCATCACACGGGTGAAGATGGGTCATAAGTTTGGCCAGCCATATATCGAGGAAATGGAGAGTTGGCGTATTGAATGGCTCTAGGGACTTGCTAGCCAACTTGAAGTAGTCCAACAATTGTATGAGCTCTTCGAGCACCTCAGCGAAGATCTTCTCGACACGATTCTCTTGTTTCTTCTTTTTCAACAAGTTGATGGCTTCATCAAGTTTAGCAGCCATAGACTGAAGCATGATAAAAAAGACCGTCAGAACGTGTTGGCACGTCTTGCTTCATCTTATTCTTCAGTTCTTGTTCAGATACGTCTACTTCATGTAGGTGACAAACGCCCTCAAATCATCGATCATATCAAAGACAATCTCGCTCTTGTCGTAGAAGATATATGTAAATGGATATTTGATGTCGTCCATCACAAGCGTATGCATCCTCAACACATAGCTAATGCAAGTCGAAATGCGATGGCAAAAGCACAAATCCACCTCGAATTGCGATGACATGCCTTTTGCACCCGTATTGTTTGACGCTGCATCGGATTTGACAACCACCTGCCACTTCGCCGCTTAAACCGTAACATTATCATCCTTTCAAGATACGAAAGGGCGGATACTATTAACAAAGTCACAATGAATTGTTGACAGGATGTGACTTGTGCCTTCACTAAACGCATCACATGACACGACTTGGACATGCAAGACAAAATAGTCGTTAATCAAGTGCATGGTGTCTACATTGTATGCCATCTGTGTGACATCGTCGGTCTAAATGTTTGTAGAAAATGCAGCACGTCCACTATACTTGAAGTGATTATGCAAGATGACATGAAGCTTGACGATGTCTCTATCAAAACGGTCCATAATCTTGCGCTTTACGGTATGTCGGGACTAGAGCAAGTCATTGGCGAAAAGCGGTGTCTTGCTCGCAAAGCCGATATCCAAGGCTGTATGGGTAACATTTTTGAATCCCACGCCTTCCACAATCGCTAACAGACGCATGTCCCACGGACTCTAGTTCATTATGGAATTGTTCATACTGGCCTTGACGAAATCAGTTGGCAATCCATGTTTGGTACCCCAAACGAGTAAGCTGCTTGAATTAGCTGCAATAGCCATACGCGAGCATGATCGGACACTCATTGATGATGTGTCATCTCTATAATTGTATATGTAGATTGTGAAACAAGTGGGATTGATGCATGCCCACAAGTACACCTTCTTGACTCATGACTTTCCATTCACTTTCACTGGTACCTCGAGTCACACCCACTCGCCATTGGCTTTCTTTACTACTTGACCCATGTGTTGCCACAGCTTATTGCTGGATGGTCGAGTCTTCAACGTAAACGAAATCACCTGATGCTTAAGGCTTTCGGTGCTCAAATCACTGACTATTTTCTTCTTTGCGTCATCCAACGACTCGAAGCACCCCATGGCTATTGTTTGCGTCTTCTGGTCAAGTTTATGGTTTCTTTAAAATAAGCATTGCAGCATGACGCTTTGAAAATTGATTTAGCAGAGGTACTAGCAATTGCAGCTGCCCGTCTGCTAGTCTTGACTTACCGGCCGCAGCTGCAGCCGTTCGTTGTGGTGCCCAATAAATCAAAATTCTGGCCGCTAATCAAAATTACGACCGCAGCCGCAGCCGAACTGTGGCTATCGGCCAGCCGTTTATCAGCACTGTGCAGCAATAATGTTGTGCACACAATTCCGAGAGAACCAACTGTATTTGAGTGTGAAAGAGAATCATCAAGAGTTTTGACGCTTCTCTCTGCTTAGAAAGAAAACTCTCTTTCTCGGATTATGAGGAAAATTTCCAAATAAAATTCATCCAAATTAATTTGAGCTCCTCAATTTTTTTGATTCAAATCAATTTCTTACGACCGAACGAACTACAAGAATCTAACGAGAGTTGAACTCCGTTTCACTATGTTCCGCAAACAATACACGTCATGCATCTTGACAATCATGTTGTGGACATGTGTGCACGTTTTTGACAAGAGCCAGAGTGATTACCTTGCAGGATGGAGCTTGCCTGGGACAAGGAGTAATGCAATGACACTCACTTGTGCACATAATCTCTCAAAATTCAACACCTCCTGCAATCATTCTTCGCACTGAAAGATATATTATTTTGATACCTGGAAGATAAGGATTTTTAAAATATTTTGAAAATTCCTTCTATTATTATCAATTTATACCATGTGTGCAATTACATGTATTATTTTATTTTACATTTATATACTCATACAATTTCATATTTTATAACTTTCTTTTCTTGATATAGCTTTATAGTAATCTAAACTAACATTAAAGAGAAGTAAAAATATATCTTTTTACAAATCGTGTACAATTCAGATTGATATAAAAATTGCATTAAATAAAAAACGAATTAAAAAACATTATTTTCTTTTAAAAATAATAAAAATAAAAGATTTAGTTATTTTCATCAGTAGATTAAATAAATAAATAAATAAATATATATATACTGTCAAAATATAATATAAATACAAAAACTATCTAAATCATTCAAAAATGCATAATTGCATTAACCAACCTAATAGCTATTTAGATGTCACTTGGTTAATAAACTATGTATCAGATATCATATTATATAAAAAAAATAAGAGTATTTGTCAGTATCATGACAATACTTTGAGTTTTGAAAAAATTATAAAAAATTATATTTATATACAATTTCTTTGCAAGTGAATCAAAGATCATAGACATATCTAAACACAAAATTGAAATTTTCCGGTATGAAAACATTACATGTTTTTATTTCTATATATAAAATAATATAAATAAACATATTTTTCATTGTAAACTATGCTTCAAGAAAAAAATCATTTGAACTTTAATAATCTATAGCTTAAAAAATTTAAAAGAAAAATTTAAACACAGTTCAAATATATAAAAATTAGCCTATTTAAATTCATTATG